TCAGAACTCAATCGGTCACCAACTTTTGGATCCGCTCTCGGCAGTCCTTACTTCGTGAGTGAGTGGAGGAGCAGCCCGGCGGGCGTAGCACAGAAGAGCCCAAAGAGCTGAGTGGCAATGAGTGTCCTGGTTGTCCTCTCATGAGGTAACTCCTTGTTCTTGGTGTTTAGTGTCTTGCTTGATTTGTGAAGGTAAGGTGGTCGGGCCGTCGTGGTTGTGCCTTCGTCGTTTCCGGTAGCCATTATCGTTTGCTGAACGTATTTCAGTTAAGGGGCCCAGCCGAAGGGGAGGGAGCCGGATGGGAAGGCGTCGGCGATGTCTTGTTTCGTCTCGAGGAGCGAGATAGCGACAGCTGGTCTGCGTTGGGAGATATCGATTTAGCCTGGGGGTACAAAACTCGAGGGAAGAGGAGAAGCTAGCCAGCTAGCCGCGCAGGATCGGGTTTATAGCAAAGACTCAAAACCTCCTGGTCGTTGCGGTGGTGGTGGTGGTGGTGCCGTTCGGAAGGTTCGGCGCGAACAATGTGAGTAACGGAATTGGTTGCGAACCTTGAAGCAATCACAGAGCCGGCTTCGAAGACGTATTGGCTGATGAATGCAAGAAATATCTTATGATGTAGATTTGTTGTGGTGCTTCGCTTGCGTGCGGACGGAAGTCCTGGCACTGGAAGAAACCTGGACACAGTGCTGACGCCGCTCTCAGGGCCGAGGCAGGGAAGCAGAACAGCTCTGCCCGTAGCCAAGATGGTAAGCTCAACTTGAGCTGACCATCGACGTGACCAAGAAGTTTCTCTTTGCTTTGCAAGGTCAGTCTTGGGCGAGCGGCACACGTGCGATGCAGGTCCGAGCAAGCACAGGCTTCGACAGCTTGGGGTTGTGCCTTGCGGTATCTTGCGGTAGTTGGTTGGGGAATTAGGTTGAGCTATGTATGCCATTTGGCAGCGCGGGATGCAAGGGTCGTGGGCGGGTCGCGGGCGGAATGCAAAGGACATCGAAGGATGTGGGACGGGACAGGGGCACACAGGGACACAGGGCAGGGACGTGCGGGAGGCATGCACGTGCCTAATTGTGTCAGTTTGCGCCTGCTGAAATTATTTGCCGTCTTATTGATAACACCATGTTCTGGACCGAATGCAGGCAAAGACATCGTTGGCGGTCTGCGAAGCGGCAAAGCAAGATCTCGCAAAGGCACGAGCACAGCATAGCCAGTTGGCACTTCACAGACTTTAATGAGCTGCGAGGCGGATGAGTGTACAGCTTGGCCGGTGATGCAGGTTTGGGCGACACCCTGGAAGTCGGGAGTTCGTGGTTCGGGCTATCACGGAGTATCACAGACTTCAAGGCTAAGGCCAAGAGGTTCCTGCTTTCTCCTCATGGCATGTCGATGCCAGTCTAGTCCCCGCTTCTTCTGAATTTCTGCTGGGTACCAGGCACCCCCGAATGCTTGTCAGAGTGCACATCAGACATCCACCCAGGTAAAGACCGGACGCGCAATATTCTAGACGCATTGCTGGGCAGGTCACTTCGATTCCGGACGCCGGATCTGTTTGCATGAAGACGGCAGTGGGGGAGCGGAGCCCGAGTCCGTCAGCAAAGAAGCCCGTAGTGTATCGCAGTGTCCGATCGCAGGAGACCTACGAGGCATATCTTCGTAGGATGAAGCCGAGCGCTTAGCCGTAGAAGCTTCAGAAGCTTACAGGTCCTGCACATCTTTGTGTGGGTTGTCCCTGCAACCGAAGGGAACATTGGGACGATGAGCTCTCCAAGTATGAATCCATAAAGGCACCGAGTGTCCCTTCATGCTCTTGATTGATAAAGCAGCGGGATGTGCCTCTTCACGGGAGGCGCAGGAGTTGTTTGATTTGGAGCTTTTCATGTGCGCTTGCTTTGTGAACGTGCTTCCGGGCATTTGGAAAAAGATGCAGAAGTTTGGAGACCCTGCAAAACCGTGGGGCCAGAGGCGAGATCAACCCATGATGATCGTATCATCAATGAGACATTCCAAGCAACCGCAATAGCTTCGCTAGTTTTGCCGACTCAAGGGCTGAGGTGACCCATGAGCGAAGACTTCGTGTTGCTGCAGACCCTGCTGCCGAAAGGGCTTGCTTGTTAGGGTTTCGGGTCGGGGTCTTAGGTTTTACGGTTTGGGGATTAGGGCTCTTTTGGGAGGTTCTGCAGAGCATTAAACTACCCGATTGGAAGCGAAGGTGAGGACACCTCGCGTTTGATCGTTTACAATTCGCCTATGTAAATGGACGGAGCAGAGTCTAGAGCTTGGAGAGAACTATTGGACAGTAGACTTTTTACTTGTTGCTTCTGTTTGTCCGCTAATGTGTCTGCAGACAGGGCAACCATGCAGGAATCACGGTCGAGTGCAAACTCTTCGCGGCGTGGTGTCGACATTTGTAGGTACCACTTGCGTTTTACTACGTGTGACACAGGTACGGCTTGAACGGAAACACTGAAAGCATTACAAACATGACTGCAGCCTAGCTCAAGCATGAAATTACCATTGGAGGAACAGGAAAGGACAAGATCAGCTGATCAGCCCAGCCTTTCCTGCAATCCTGCACCCAGCGGTCTGGCGCAGGCCCGCTGCTCGACAAAAAATATAGCTCCGGCAAAGGACGGCTGCAGATGTTAAGGGATCCTGTCGCACAATGCCGTTGCGTCATCAAGTACTGTACGGTTGCAGAAGCTGTTGCATCAAGGACTGCTCCAAGGAGGAGGCATGTGGCTTTCACTCCTAGGGCTTCTCAGACAGCCTGCTGTCACCTTCAGAAGCAACTCTAGTAGGCTCGACAGCCCGCGCATGCGCCCCATGAATCAAACTAGTTTCTCGACTGACTGACTGGCGACACACTGGCCAGGCTGGCCTGGAGAGCAAGAAGTTGGAATGCGACGGCGTGCAGAGCACCTTCGAGCGCGGCTTCTGCGACCAAGCCGTGCAGGCTCCAATAATACTTGTGTTAAATATAGAAGATTATGGAAGTTCCAGAAGTTGGCATGAGACTCACAGTGACGTTCCGGCGTGGAACTCATTTGATCGACGCGAGACGGACAGGCCAACAAAGCCTGGTACAAGTATCTCGTGTGCTACCGCGCGGCCGGGAAGGGCACCTTGTGCAACTGCTGAGGATCTATTTTCGAGCCTGGGTAGGCGAAATCTTCGTACGAAGATGCCACCCAGACCGCCAAGACGATCGTTGACTCAAAGAGATGAACTCAGCAACTGCAAGCGGCATGCGATGGCACATTATGTCGGCTCTGCGCCATCTCAAGGAGGCTGAACCTCGATGCCTCACACCGTATTGAATGCCTCCTAAAGGACTGAAAAGCATCGGCAAGGCATGACTAGGCAAAATCTATCTAGTTCCTGTCAGGTGTTTTCCAAAAAGCACGACGCAGAAGCGGCCCTCAGAGAGTGCAAGCTCATGGATCACAGCTGGAGTCTCAGCCAGGGAAGTGAATCATCTGAATCTGCTGCAGCCACTGCAGCCACTGCACTCTAAAAAACTCGGGGCAATGCTGGGATTCCCAGGTGCGGAAACTGAGAAGATCCAGGTGCAGCTCCAGAAGGCGCCATCGCGTTAGAGAGTTCAGAGAGAGGCTTTTGGCCAGGCCGTATCGTGCCGTGAGTCATGTGTGTCCCATCGCGCAGAGTTAATAGAATTCCGGTTTTGTCACTATCGTACTTGATCCGTATGTCGCCAGGTCCCCGACGCGGAGACACCGTTGCGAGCCTACAAGGGCGCTCTCTCGCAAGCCGGCTTGCGATGATCTTGGCGATGCAACCAGGCCGCCTTCTGTGATCATTCCAGGCGACGCTGCATTTGCCAAGGAGCGCTCAGAGACTTAAGGCATGTGGAGGCTGCAGGAGCAGACGGAGCATCGCAGGAGGAATACATGAACTTGGCCAGCTCGGCATCTGCTCCCCAGACCTGTGCTTTGCCGTTTCAATTGGCAGCTTGGCCGAAGCTTCTTCTTCTATTGGGTGAGTGCGGCTCCGACAGCATCTCCTGGCAGGCAATGTGAGGCGCCCGATCAGGTTTGCCATGGAAAGCGTGTCACAGCTGCCAGAGATGCATAGTCGATTCTCGCCGAAGGCGCAGTCATTTTCCTTTGAGTAGGTACCATGCTTGTTCATTGACAACTCAAGTTTGTCTCGATGCAGCCTCGTCGTTACAGTGACTGTGAGTGGGGGGGGGCTCACCATCGCGCAGGCAGAAAGACTCACGGATTCTGTAAGCCAAATGCCGCCATTTGGTGTTCGAGTGTTCAGTTGTGCGTTTGCATCCGTTTGCCAAGCTTCTGCAGCCCGGTCAGGCTACAGCGGATTTACTGACTGAGGCGGTTTGGTTTCGTGGAAAAGTGGCAGGCTGATTAACTAATTTCAATCTGTTGCAGACGGCATCGGCCTGATGGCACCACGCCGTCATCTGCCGAGCACCGTGAACCCGACCAAGAGATACAACATTTGAAGCTGTTGACGGCCTTTGAGGCTTCAGGCTTAGTCGCTGCATGGTGTTGCTCGAGTTGCTCGAGCCAAAGTGCTCAGCCAGATCAGCTCGAGATTCGGCTGCCTACAGCAGACCGAAACTTGCAATGGCCGTCGCCCCACGAATGTGAAACCACACTGGTGCCGGCCGCGGTACTGTTGATGAATGTTTCGCAGGAGTTGCGAGCTTGGGCGCTTGATCTGTCCAGGATCCGCGACGGACCTGCGAAATGCGAAGCATTCCGTTCCAGATCGTTACACAGTTCGATTTAGAGCCATTTGATGGCACAGGCTGTCGCGAATGCGGAGCCTGCCTCTCAATGCAGGATTTCCTGCTTTGTGCCTTCTTTGCCACGGTCAGGAGGCACGTCCGTAAAATCGTGTGCAAAGCTTATGGAAGCTTCCTGTGCCCTGTGCAACCGTCGAACGAAGCTCAACTCTTTTTTGAAACGCCAAACACTGTAGGCTAGGCTTCACACGGTTTTGTTGTGAAAGTCTCGCAGGAGCAGTGCCTTCTTTTGGCTGATGGGTTGGACGAGCAGCTCCTCCAACAGCAGCCAGACGAGGCTTCCTCGGCCTTTATCTGTCGAGTTGCTCGGAGTTTAGCTTGTGCGCAGCAGGAGTTTCTTCACTCACATGTCTGTGATCGTTCGGCATGAGGTGCTGTGCACCCGCTTTGGTGCTGAACTGACGCGGCGGCATTTGTCCAGCCCCCATTTGTACCATCTTGTAGCCGCTTCTTCTGCGTAGCATGTCATGGTACGCCACACTTACACACACATACATACACACACACATATATATATATCTATATATGCTACCCCCCCTCAAGGATCTACCGTTTTCGTGTGTTTGAGAGCCGTAGGCAGAAGACGTGAATATTCGTATGGATTTGTGCTTGTGTGGGTATGACGTGAGCATTGCATGAAGAAGACTCGACAGCAGGGGTTCTTCTTTTCAGCAGAGGAACTGGTGAGAATGCAGACTGGTTGAAAACACTTGATTTCGACTCTGTTATAATTTAACCCACAGAAGGAAACGAGACTGACTGAACGAAAACATGAAGTGAACAGAAACAAACACGTGCTCTTTTCTATTCATTATTTTGTTTTAGCCTTGTGAGCGGTACGTTTTGATTGCGAACGAATACAAAAGAATAATGTGTAATACAGTTAAGGGACAAAGTGTATGAGTGATAAGTTCTTTTAAACAAAGCGCACAATACGGAATGATAAAGCACCTATTTTTTGACGACGCATCTTACGCAATATAATATTCACCATGACATTCTATGGGTTGTTTGAACTTTAGGATCTATCACGTGTTCCTTCCTTTGCATGCCTTACCCTTAATTTCTTTAAGGTCTAGACGTTAATAATATTAAGAACAGAGTTTTCGCTGGTTTTTTAGTTTAAATGTACGGCATCAATTGAATACATGATTTCATCGTAAAAAGGCCAGTGAATAAATAGTAGCGGAATCCGGAGTCGTTCGCGAAGGTCTCAGTGTTTTTAAATCTTTGAAGTGAGTCCTGTTGTAGCCTATGTGTGCTATAAGTTAAGACAATGTACCACAGTAAAGCGTGCTTAATTATGATTGAAACAATGAGCGCAACAGAGCGAACGAACCAACATGACACAAATAAGAAGATCGACGTGGAGATAGCTTCTGGATGGCCTGTGGTTTAAAGAAGAGATTGAGACAACTGAAACCGTGTGAGATGCGTGTTCTCTTCATTGAAACACACTCTAGGTTTCTTGATAATCGGCGTGTGTTCGCTGCTTCAGTTAACCCAAACAAACCAAAGGAAAAGAAGCGCGTGTTCAGTTAAATCAAGCAAAACAGACGGAACGAGCAACAGTTAGCGCCCCACTGTAATTTAAATACAATAAAACACAAAGGAGTGAAGTTAAATGAGGCGCATGCGTGGTTTTATTGTTAATTATAATATGAGCGTCGTGAATTGAAATGATAATTACCTAGTGCCCTGTCATACTCCATCAATGAAAGCGTAAACGAAAAGAAATGCCAGAAATGAACAGAAGAGAACAGAGCAAATTGAAAAGAAAAAGCACAATGGAACAATACATGCTTTTCATCACTCATTTACCTTTGCTTCATCAGTGCTTGTGCTTTTCCGTTTGTATCTTTTGGTCTAGAAATCTAAACTGCGGCCTTTTGTGCAGTTAAAGCAAGTGTGTAATGACAGCAGTTTTGTCTGGGTGTTTAAGTGAGCAAAAATAAGCCACACATAACACAAATAATGAATGAAACAACTGAAGGCGTGCATTCTTTGTGCTTCGTTTCATTTGATTACATTGCTATGGCCTTTTCAATTATACTTTTAGGTGATAAGAATTATCGGATGTGTTCTTCTTCAATACAAGCAACACAGGTACACTTCCTTAATTTGTTGTATTTCATTGAATGAAATACGAAATCGAACTGTACATTGCACTTAATTCACCGTTTTCGTCTTTTGGAATATGTTCGGTGTACCGGAACAAGTTAACATAATGGAATGGACTGAAACACGCGAAACCACGAGAAGCGTGTATTCATTCTGTTTCACTGCATTAAATTTAGCTCTTGTGGGGTTCCTGTGGTGTGTTTTGTGTCATGAAATGAATGAAGCATGCATTCACTCACTGTCTTCTTATCTTAATCAGTTAATGACAACAAAACGAAACAGGAGCACAGAACACAGATACTACTACGGTTACTACAGTTACGTCGACGCACTACTACGTACCACTAGTTAGGGGCGCTACTACTACAAGTGGTAGCGGGCCAGGGCTGTTGAGCTCAATCGGCCCCGATTGAACTTAGTCGGGGCCGATCGAGTTCAATCACTAGTCGGATTGAAGATCAAAGGTTGAAGATTTCGTGGGGCAAGAGATTCTGCGGGAGGATTTGGGCGAATACACTTGAAGCAGAGTCGGCCAGATTCAAGTTGAATCAAGGGCCGGATTGAAGATTGAAGATTCCTGGAAGAAGTTTCCCAGAGATCTTCAATGTTCAGTCCGGCCCCCGATACCGCTTAGCACGAGTCGGCCCCGATTGAACTTAATCGGGCCAGGGTAGCCTAAACCCAACCGCAAAATGGTGCATCAGCAAGCCCCTCACCTCAAGGATCTACTGTTTTCATGTGGTGGAGGGCCCCTCCCCTTAAGGATCTACTGTTTTCGTCTGGTGGGGGGCCACCCAACACACGAAAACGGCAGATCCGTGGGGGGGAAGTTCCATATATATATATATATATATATATGCTGAGGCCGAGGGAAGTGTGGGGGGAAGACCAGGCCTAAACAATCTTGTGCACCCACGGGGCAGAAACAGCAACGAAACCACAGCAGTGTGCTGATTGGCTGGCCGCCGATAAAGCCGCGCAGAACTGCTGGTGGGGAGGTCACGTCATATCACGTCCGTTGTGTTTGAGTCTTGATTGCGTTGCATTAAAGTGCCATATCTGAAGGTGTCCCTTGGTTTGGCATTGCTTACGCTGGGGCATCGCGTGGCATCGGTGTACATCAGTAGTATTCAGTATGCGGTTGGTAATTTGAACAATTGAAGAGGTTGTCGGATATCAGACGAAATCAGACGTTTCAGACGAAATCAGACGTTCCCAGATCCCCCGCTCCATGAATCTTGGACGTTCAGACCTTTAGCCTCACTTGCTTCAGCCTCGTCGAGACTCTCGTTCCCAAAAAGCTTTACATGTATCACTAGGGTCACTGTGTCACCGTGTGAGACCTTGATAAAGTCACGGATTCGCGAACTACAGATCGCATGTCGCCCATGCAAAAGAGAGAAGTATATGTAACCGTATAGATTTTGTAAAATTGCTCGCAGGACACGCCTCGCAGTTTCCTCACGCCCTTAGCTAGAGTACAGGAAGGCGAAGTAGCGGCTAAGTAGCGGCCGCGTTCCAGTGGCTGTGGCGGCTGCTGCCGGCGTCGGCACCGGAAGCTTGGCCAGGCCGTTGCCGCGTCTCATAGCCTTTGCAGTTTATTGCAGTTTGCAAGAGTCCTGTGAAATACCAGCTGTTCGTCGATGAGAGAGCAAGGAATACATGACTTGCTTCTAGACCACAGCACGTGTCAGCACGAGCCTGCGGTGATATTGGCTCAAGCTCTTCCGCACTTGCCCGGGCGCTGTGGCACAGTTTTCGCGCCAAGCATGTTGCGACTTGGTGGGCTCGAGCCCGCCCGGCCACTCAGTGCACCAAAGAGACACGTCCAAGTGGCAACGGTGACGCCATGGAGAGCAGCATCCATTGGTGATTCGGCCAGGGCCAGTCGGGGGAGACGAGCGCCGAGCAGCATCCGGCGGAAAGTGTGGGATGCTGCATCTTTCTGCAGCGATCCTCTGGTTGCATGCGTTGGCTGGGCAGCTCTTCTCTCGGGCATAACTGTGCTTAGGGTGGCGATGGACGATGACGAAGATACGCCGAAATCCTTTCTCAAGAAGCGGAGGAGAATGCGGATGTTGCGCCAGGACTCGGCTCCCATTGTTTGCCTCGGGGACAGCATAACACGCGGCAACCTATCCACAGACTGGGTGAGCTCTTTGAGGGAGGAGTTGAACCAAGGTTTGGTGTTGAACGCTGGCATAAATATGCAGCTTTGGCGCAGGGTGGAGGTAGCTGACCTTTTGAGATCTATGACTCTATGATTGAGCCTTTCGATCAGCTTCAATATTCAATAAGATGCCATCTCTTGCCGGATTGTTTCCTAAGGCAGTGCTCCCAGAACATCCAAGAGCGCATTGGCGAGGTCATTCAATGCAAGCCCTCTCACGTCACAGTGCTTGTGGGGACCAATGACCTGAAAGCCGCACTCTCGCCGGTGGAAGGCCAGGCTTGGCGCATGCACTGAGATGTTCTGAGTTCTCAGAGTAACATCTTCTCATGATAAATGCGGGTACTGAGTTTACCGCACTGAAGATTTCGGTTTGATCTCTTCGTGCACGACCCCTGCTTACCGGCCTTGCCATCACTCGCTCGGCGAGGGCAGCTACCCAAGGCCAAAAGAAAAAAGATTGTAGGCCGGTCCAATCTCCAGGTCCAGGAATCGTGGTTACCGTAGGGGGCCAAACCGAAGACAACAGGAAACAGAAGGAGAGATCGGGCAGAACGCTCATAGTTACTTTTGGCAGACATCACATCCCGACAAACCCTATCCCTGCAACAAGCACAACCGTTTCAGGGCTGTTGGTTCTTCGCCCCACATCTCTTCCTTTCAAGCTTCAGGATTCATGTATCAAGTCTTCGGCCAGCTTCCAGAAGTTCCATCGCTGGAATCCTACGAAAGAACTCTCCGAGACATCAAGGAGCGGTTGATCGACGCAGGGGCCAACGTTGCCCTCGTCTCTCCGCCCGTGCTGGGAGAGGACCGGATGGACAAGAATGATTCGGTAATAAAAGCATTCTGACTTTTCTTAACAAGGCACTCGCCTCGGCGAATTGATGAACGTCGAACAACAGCAACGCGATAGAGGCTGCCGCCAATTCACCGGGTCATCCCAGCACACATCTGTCTCTGCTGTTCAGCTTTTTCTGTTCTGATACCTATATAGTATTGCTGGTAAATCGCAAGCATAAGAGGACCACCAGTCGGAGGCCAACAAGAGAGCGGCCGAGTTTGCCTCCGTCGTCCGAAAGGTCGCCGAGTCCGGGGGTAAGATGTGCACCTACCTACCACTGTTTGAGATGACGTATGCCGCCCTACCAAAGGGAAGGCTTGGAAGGCCCTACTGCGGGATGAACTTCTTCGCCTGGTGTTGCCTTCTGTGCTGGGACATGCACATCCTGCAACGGGACCCTGCAGACATTCAGCGAGAAAGGAATTTGGACGTGACTTTGGACTTGGTTCATCTCGGACCTGGGGCAGCAAAAGGGCTTGCGGACATGGTGCAGAACTTCGTGCGTGCCCATCCATCCCCACTTTCGGCTCCGCAGGTCATTTCTGATTTGCGTGCCCTTCCTATGGAACCCTGAGGCTTGCCATTTCTTACCAGGCCACCCAGCATGCGCTGCAGGTTCGGCATCACGGAACATTCATTTCCAGTCCACTCAGCTTAGCAGTGTGGGTGAAAATCTTTGCATTCTGCCTCATAGTGGCTTGTGACAGCTGCATGCTGGACTCTGGGCTTCACCGCCTGCCCGCTGGGATCACACTTCGTGCTCTGTTCTCGATTGATCTCGTTGAATGCAAAGCCTTGTTGGATCCCACTGTGCATGCTCACCACCTGCGTTTTCCTCTGAAACAGCGTAATAGCTGTATGGGCTTTGCCCTGCATGACTTCTGAGAGGAGTCTGACACCAGCACCCGTACATCAGTTTCTTTGTTTACAGGTATCGGTCTGGTGGAATCGGTTCCTCCATCAAAGTGTTTGAAGGATTGAATCTTCGTCCGCATTTTCATGCTGGAGGCTGGGGGACCAACTTTTCCGCATCCTCCATAAAGCCGTTCCAGCCGTCTTGGCCACGGCGGCACTTCACTAACAGATGGGCATCTCAAGAAGCATCTGTACCCGCTGATACGTGCTGTGGAGTGCCAGCTGCCATGTACGTCACGTTCTCACTCAAGTATACCAGACCCGTGCGATGCGGAATGCATTGAAACATCAGCACACATATTGATGCATCCTATGGCATGAGCCAGCCGAGACGTCGCTACAATCCGCTGCAAATTCATCACAAGTTTAGGCCTGCATAGTGCGTGAATCAACTCACACCGCTTGCATGCTGTCCTGCAGGACCCAGGACGCCCGGTTCCGCGTCAAAAGCTTTGGGCACGGCCGGCTGGAGCAGCTGAAGTGGAGAACCAGCTCCTCCAGATACATGCAGTGCTTCCCGTTCTTCGCTGGGACAAAAGAGGGGCAATGTGTCGGCAACATTGTTAAGACTTACTTCGCCGTTTGGACTTGTACCTCGCATCCGAGGTCGTGCCTTCTTCCCGACCAGTGGCTCAATGATGAGGCTGAGCCGGGCGCACGTGCACATGTACCCTCACGACCTTGCAACCCATGCCCACCAACCCCAGTTTCATCAGCACTTGTTCGGGCCTTCGCTTCCCGCAGCCATATTGACATCAGGTACTGGAAAGAGCCCATTCCTTGGACAATCACTGGACTCACGTTTGTCTGGCCCGGTAGCCCCTTGTACTCTGAACACTACTTGACTTACTGAACTACTTGTGCACCCAGAGCTGAACATGCCAGCTGTCCCGTGGTAACAGGGCTTCGCTGCGCCAATTTTGCTTCACCACGCAGTGTGCAGTGACTGGTGACTGAGATGAGGAAGGCAAGTGGTTGAGGTGAGCGATGGACTGCGTGGGTGAGTGAGTGCATTCGCGCGTGCGTGCATGAGTGAGTGGGTGTTTGGTGTGAGGGCGGCAGGTGAGTGAGCCCGTCACCTGGCACTAGGTGCCGTAGGTGCAGGTGCATCTACCGTTCACATGCAGTTTTCCTAACCCCCACGCCATGCCTGCGACCATGGCCGAGTGCCAAGAGGCGGGCGGATGGGACTGAAAGCGACTGGATGCAGATTTCAGCCGGGAGGCGTGCTCTTCATAGTCTACTCTAAGACTCCTGAATGTGACGTCAGGCCATGAGGCACGGACTTCTCAGGAGTTGCGGCCTCAATGAGATTCTTGTCACCTGGAGTTTTCGGCTGTGACAGTTGCAGAGCATGGCCGTGGGCCGGGTTTTGATGTCGCAAGCCTTGGCGTGATGCTTTCCAGCATCCCATTAGCGGCTCATGCCCTTTTGCAGCAAGCTGAGCTGCCGTATCGGACCAGCAGCTGGTAGGTTTACTGCAGCGTGACACGGCGTGACTCCATGACTCTTTGGCTCTTGCTGTTGGTTGCTTTCGCTTGCGCTGACCCACTGGGCGAGGAAATCTATAAAAAGTTCGTGGAGCTTCGGCTGATCGTAGGGCTTTATGATGTTGATGTGTGCTTCCTGGCTGAGATTTCTTGCCAACCCAGGACATCAGCCGTGTGCTGCAATTCAAACATTCGCCAGATGCCTTAGACAATATTCGCGATTGGGTACAGGAGGATATCACAGACTGGGCTCCACAGGGGGAGCAGGCACTGCGAAAGCACATCGTCACCTTGATGTACGGCGACGATGACGACGAGAAGATCCGAGCTGTCCGTGTTTACAGCAATGTATGCGAGATGCAAATGATGTTGGGTTCTCAGCTGTTCGCAGATGAGGCGCACGCTATGCAAACTAACCCCGGCATCGCCGCTGTCCTTCATCAATTGCATATTGGCACTGACGATCAGAATGCATACGGACTAGCCGATGCAGTGCACCAACACTTAAACTCAGCTGCAGATCTGTCTTTGTTTGGAAGCCAGATGCAGGCTGCGAGGGATCGCATGCAAGACCGACGTGACTCGGAGTTGTGACTCGCTGTTTGGATATGTCTTCTCCAGGGAGTGAATGAAGCTGCAGACAGCAATGGTGTGAACAGACGCTATCAGCTGCTCGTGCTGCTCAGCAGCAAGTCAATGCCGAAGGCACTGCATCCAGGACTGGCAAGCGCTGCTTGGACGCTTGGAACGGTTGGTGCATGCCCACTTTGCCACAGCATGGGGTGAAGCCCAATCAGTGCAGCCATGACTTGAGTTGAAAATGTAACGGTTTCACAGCTCGGGCTGGACACGCTCAGCCCTCGGAGCGACAGTGGAACATGCAACAACTACGAGATGCAGGAGACATTCCACTCTGTCTCCTGGGTGCTGTGGGAGTGCGCTTCCCATACACAGCTAGCAGCCAGCATGTGTGCACCACAAAGTGTGCATGATTGCAGCTACAAATTACGCGTGCATGATCTCGCATTTCTATCGACGACTTGAGTCAAAGATGTCCAGCTCCACATAAGTTGCCTGAGAGACCGGGAAGATTCTCGTCGGACTGCTGTTGACTAATTAATGACCGGCCAGTGCTCCAGATCAAAGCCGAACTACTTCTGCGAGTCAACGTCGCCGCAGACAGTATGCAGACAGCTGGTTGGTGATGTACCTATCAGTTTCTATTCCTTGCTTTCGGCCGGCGTGCTTAGTGCTCGAGCTTAAAGATAGACTATGATAGCCCGAAATGAAACAGGAATCTGTGAGAGAGCAAACCTCAGTCCACACGGACAAGTAACCGTTTTTGCCAAAGGTGCAGATTGACTCACTGGTCATTTGCTTGAACTCGCCCTTTCACAGCACGAAGCAGTGCTTGAGAACAGCAGAAGCTGCCTCAAGCAAGGCACTACACGTAGGATCGTTGGAACTCGGCTGCCCAGCTATTGCGACCAGCAAGCTCAAACAAGCCCATGAATGTTCTATGCTTGCGGTGTCCCCGTAAACAGAAACTGTTCCACATGCCATGGCTGTCTCGGGCAAAGCTCGGGCACTTTCGTCGCGACCGACCAGCGCCTCGACTCGTCCACCCAGTGCAGGAAGCGTGCGAGAAGGATCTCCTGGTCTTTCGAGTCAGCGCCCGACCAGTGCTGGGAGTACCTCTGCACAGTCGCTAAGCAGGCCGTCCAACGCCTCTCTATATCGACCAACCAGCGCCGGCAGTGCAGTGCAAGGCTCCGAAGTGTCGAGCAGGCCTGTCAGTGCCAAAAGCCAGGCTGGCGCGGTCAACACCAACACAACATGCAGAGCTTCCCTGGAAACGGAAGAGTCCTTGAATAATGGGCACGGGGCACGCGGTGATGCAGCACGAGGCGGTCGGCTTCTGGGCACGCATTCGCAAGACAATGCCATAACGCAAAGCTCCGACTTCTCCCGCCGCGCAGTCGAAGAGGAGCTGCAGCAACCCGTCCTAACACCTATTCCGAACTCGATAGCAACACCACTGGAGAGGCAGATGGGCACTGCAATCGGACTGAAAGGCAGAAATCGGTTGGTGCCTCGGCTTCCCCGTGATGTCGTGCAGTGCCTGCACGGTCAGAATTGTTGTTGGCGGTGGTTGGCGAGAGCAGCCATGGAAGAGATACACTGCGGGAGCTTGGCGTGTGTGAGCCTTGCGGATGGCGTGACCATGATGAAGGAGGATTGTGACGAAGGGGAAGCAGTAAACAAAAGTTTACATAGTCTAGTGGCGGCACAGAGTGCCCGCGCAAGCATGCCAGTGCATGAAATGCATTGAGTGTACTCCTGAAGAGAAGCACGGCATTTGCAAGCGTTCCAGTCTAAACCTAAAGTAATTTGTAGACTCGTTGTGTCACGCCGACCTTTGCACCTATGGATCCTTGCCTGGCTTGTCCGAGTTGTGAGAGTGTAAAGTAAATTGCTAGCCCGCAGCAGGAGCTGGTCATGCTAAGGGAAGAGCACGCCATTAAGGAGACAGAGCGAGGTCGTGCGGAGGCAGCTTGCAGTATGTGCTTAAACGCTTTTGCTGCATTACTGGATGCTAGCTTAGCGCAAGGGAGATTACCTAGGCCGCTGAAGAAAATCTGGCCTCCTTGAAGCAGCAGCTGGCTGCAGCCAAAGTTGATCACAAGGAGTTCAGGCCGGATCTTTGTTTGGGGTTCCCTCGCCAATGGAATTGCAATGTAGCACAGGGCTCTCGAGCGAGCTCACGGTCATTTACAAGAGGAGGCTGCTTCCCTCCGAGTGTCCCGAGGCTCGGGATGTGGGGACATGTGCTAATCGCAGATGCGTTTACATGTGTAGTCAGGAAGCCTCCTGGCTCAGCTGGAAGTACAGAAGAAGGATTCGGCACGCGAAATAGAGGCGATCAATGGCAAGGCACGCGCTAGCTACGCTAGTTGAACACCATCATAAAAAACACGTACCTTGTAGGGTCGAAAGCACGTTGTGGTCCGTGTTGGCCTCATTCTGTCGAGGCCGATGCTGAAGCATCAGCCCTACGCCTTAGAGCTGAACATGCGGAGACGGAGCTCGCGAAATTGCAGGCCGAGGGCAAGCAGAAACTGTTGATCCGCCGGGCTTCAGAAGCTGTCAGCTCAGGCAACTGAAAGTGAGCTACGGCAAACAGTGGCAGGGCTGCTCCAGGGAAGGCGCCCGTGCCGTAAAAGAACCATCAATCAAGCCGAGCAGAAGTCGCGTGGCCTGGCAGGGAAGAGGCAGACAGGAAGAAGCTGGCAACGGTGGGACCCCGCCGTTTCAGGGCTCGCCGAGGAAGCGGCTTGGATGCCTGAATCTTGCATTATGCTGCGTCCATGCTCGAGAATCCGAGGAAAAAGCAGCACGAAAAAGGATTCTGGCTCGCGCTCCCAGTCTCGGCGAGGGGGCAAGCAACGCGGGCGACGCTAATGAGATCTAATGAGTCAGGATGTGCGCATTAGATGCTGAAGGTTTGATTGCGAGGCGAAACGGCAGGCTGCAGTAGCCTGGGGATCCTCCGAATCGCCAAGTTTCTCTATGGCGAAAAGGTGTCTCACAGAGCCATGCAAAGCAGGCTCTCTCTTTGCAGACTTCGAGTCCTTAGTAGTGACGCCCGGCTGAAGCCAACAGCGCAGATGATCAACTTACGGTCTTTCTGCAAAGGCATGAGGTAAAATTGCTGGCGAGCTCGCATCTATCCACATCTGGTGGAAAAGACTCTGTCTTTGCGCTGCCTCCTTGATAGCATGAGTTCTGTCACCTCCTGACGGTTAAGGCCAATCAATGTAAACAGAGACATCGGCAGGGCTTGATCGATCGCAGGCATCCGGGCTGCAGAATTCTTGTGCATTGCCGCATCAGACTAGCATTTCCTGATTCCTTCCAACTGTGAGTCTCATCAGGCACGTCGGACCAAGATACCTCAGTCTGTGTGCTGCTCCTGTCCTTCAGCGGTGATTTGCATCTCTCTCGGCACCTTCGCCGCATCTCAGCCCAGCTCCAATAAGTGCGGCTTTGCAGTTGGCCATGCCGTGTCGAAGTCAAGTCGTGTTCAATTCCATTCGGGCCTGGCAAGAATGCAGAATAGATTCCGGAGGCAGGACAAGAAAGGTGAGGTCGGTTTCGCGGCATGCGGGCATGTCGCTCGGCCCGTGATCAAGTCCAGATCAGAGAGGCTGCAAAAACTGTTGAGTTGTTGGTTGAGGTACGCGAAGATGCTCCCAGCGAAGAGCTTGGTCACAGTTGGCGTCAATTCAATGGTAGAATGAACGATTACGCCTGAGCAGAGAGCGCAACTGCCATGTCGACCGAATGCAATGCAGGCACGCGCAGCAGGAATTGCCAAACATGTTGAAAGTCTCTGAGCATTGTGTACAGGGGCGTGCATGGGCGTGCCAATGTGACGCATACCCAACACAGAGTATTCGGATTCCTTCGGCAGCCTGAGCACATGAGCCGACGAACGCGCCAAAAAGGAGTGCTACATTATGTCGTGAACTGCAAGTTGTCCGGCTGTCAGTGCACGGTTGCTTGTAACTGCATATGGGCACACACTGCATCCAAGACCTGCGCATCCTGCGCGTTGGGGCACATATCCCACGTGCTGGGTGCGGTCTGACTGCAGGTCGTGAATTGCTACATGAAGCTTCTACAGGCTCCCGGCCATGGGGCTGTGGCAATAATGGGTACTACATCGAGATAATGGTGTCAGTCCGATAGGCCCACAAAACATGGTACTGTGTTGTTGCATGGCTAGCACCCGACAGCACGTAGCGCCAGATCAGGACGGCAGAACGCAGGTTACGGTATTATATTGTTTTGCGAAGTTGTGTGTTCCTCTTTTTGCGGGGACTTTCGTGTGTTTGGTTTGCTGGTCGTCCTGTGGTCCTTCGGCCCTGTGTCCTCGCTTTTCGCACCTGGCTTTTCGCTGGTTTGTTGCTTGCAGGTATCCATGTCGTTCCTTTTGGTTGTGGCGGCGGTTTTGACTGCTCCTTGTTGCTTCTTTGAATGTTACTTGTTTGTTTCTTCCGTTGTGCTGCCTGTTTCATGCCCCTCGCTGCTAGATGTTCGTTGGGTTTGTTGGTATTGCGAAGGCGACGAAGTGCAAATAATGGGATCCCGGAAGTGGCGGATGAGCCTGAGAGGCGCCCTCGTGGAGTTTTGACTCTCTGTCTGGGTCTGTCTGCCTGCGTGCCGGCCTTTCCGCCTATTTATTTCTCTCTATTTCTGGCTAGCTATATCTCTAACTGTTTAGTTGTCTGGGTCTGTCTGTATTTGTGCTGTCCATGTGACCGCTCGTCATTGTCTATTTGTTATAAATGGCTTGTTCTGTATTTAGGTCCTCTTTGAGTATCAACACCGTGTTCGTCCCACTATCCTCCTGCTCTGGTCCCGTCCGCTCGGTGCCCGCTCGGGTCGACTTCGCTGATATTGAAAGATCCAGCCGGGCGCACCTGCATGGGCCAGCCTGGAGGTTCGAAAAAAAGCCAAGTTCTGTGGATTTTCATGGATGTTTCAATATCAGCGAAGTCGACCCGAGGCCAAGGCTTCGTACAATAGTACACCCAGAAGGAAATCCTGACGCGTAAGCTCAGCCTGTGCTGATTAAACGGCCCACAATCATTCTGTCATGTATCTTGATGCTTTTGTCAGTTGATTCCTGCCCGTCCGCCCCCCCCCCCCTACCCTTCCACTGGCTTGCCTTTGCACTCGTGCTTTGGAAATTCATATGTAACTATATTCGACGCCCGCTGCAGTGCTCTAAGATGTCTGTTGGCCGCCAATTCCCAACCTGCTCCAAACATACCTAAATCCGCACCATGATGGTTTCGTTGTCCAATGGGGACGAGTATACTTGTGGTGTTATTCTGTCGCTGGCGAAATGCTTGGCTTACAATCACGGATCCGGTGCACTCTGTGCGGAGTGTGCTCGTGCTTTCGAGGTGTGTGCGATGTGCCCTCCTGCAAGTTGGTGATAGATGGATCGAAAACGAAACAACATGAGAGACCACTGGTGGGGACGGAGACGGTGTCTGAGGTTTTCTGCATGTCTGTGGTGCTAGTACATCGGAATCTGTGGCTGTACTTCGAGCAGAGAACACACCGGTTTTCGAGCTCATGGGCCGGCCCATAGGGCCATAAATGTGCGGCTGCGACTACCAGTGAGAACAACTGTGAGCCGTGTAAGTGCGAGCTGCGCAACGCAACCCTCGCAAACTGCGCAACCCTGGCACTGTCTGTTTCTACTTGCTGTGCAATGTTGTCAGACGTAGAGTCTGTGTCTCACTCCAGCCTGAGTCTCTGGGCCTGAATAAATGTCGTCCATAGTAGGGTTGGCTACGTTATGGTTCCTTGACCGAGTTTGGGTTGCAGCCTTTTTAGTGGTTTTGGAACAGGGTGAACTTCATTCAGCAGTTTGGAGAGCTTGGGTAGCTCGTGGCCAAAGTGACACCTGCCAACCGGACTCCTCGGAGGCTGCCATGCGGGAGCCCAAAATACTCGAATCCGTCCCCCTCCATGCCGTGGGTGCGCCTCCAAGTGTTCGTCTGTTCGTTTGCCCCACTTCCCTGCTTCCAAACTCCCTCGATTCCTCTGGTTTTCAACCAAGCCGTCGGTTTGTCGCGAATCCAGCCTCAATGTCCTCCCAACAAACATGTCCAATCCCACGGTCCCAAGAGGTGTGCTTGCTGCCAATCCTGCTAGTATCCCAATTTCCTAATTTTAGTCAAATCCCGCCCTTTTGCATACTTTCCCCTGCGCGGAGCACAAGATGTCAGAAGCGACTCCCTGCTTCAATGCAACATAAGCTCGGCTCGTTCCCAATTCGCATATCTGCTGAAATCCCCCTTTCGTCTGCTTGGGGCAAAACGCCACAACTACTTCCCTTACTCCCGTCCTCTCCAAATGTATCCTCCGACCCCGCAGCTGATTGCCAGCTGCGAGTGAAGCAGCCGGGCGGCCCAACTAAATTATGGCGATTTGCGGGGCCCAGCGTGGCAGTACATTTCAACTGAAAAACGATTTTTTGTCCGTGCAAAGAGGGTAGGGACGGGGCGGGACGGAAGGGGCCGGGCTCCTTTCCGAAGTGGGTGGAACCAAAAACGCATACTGTAGGAAGGTGGTAAGACTACGCAAACTTTCCGAGCCAACAATATGCAGCACAACAGAGGGATTTCGCAACTCTAAAGAGCCTCATAGTTTGTAGCGATTCCCATTCATACCAACATCACACAGCAATGTGGTGGAAGCACGATTGGAGAACCCAACTTCTTGCAGTCGCCCACAGGCGAAATCTTTCGGCTGGTATCATGTTAACTTTGCAACCCGGTTCTGCCGGCATGGAGCATGTGTTCACAAATCTATCTTAGGCTCTTTTGTCTGCGCAGGTGCTCGTAGGTTAGGCTTGGAAAAAAGCCTCTTAGGCTTTAATGTATTCCGACACCCAAGACAGCCAAAGAGCGTGACACTTAAGGCCTGAGCTTGCCTTTAGACCCTGCAACGGCTGGTCTTTGGCAGGACTGCAGCGAAGGCCAGATTTGGTGCGCCAACACCTTCTTCTGGAATAAGCTGGAGGCGTGTTGATCTTTTGGCAAAGCCATGACACATGACGCGGTCTCTATCGGGGGTTGGCATGTCGACGTGTGGGTTGTGCAACGCGTGCGTTGCAATGGTTCAGACATGTTTCGACAGCTTTCCTTTCATCTAGACGAAGCTCCTGCGTTTCCTTCCGCTGTCACGTTGCAGTCGAGAGGACCAGAGGCGGGCATGCTTCGGTAGCAAGACCAAGTTGTCCGGCATGCAGAGCTTTGGACGCGCCTCGCATGCCTTTACACGCCTTCAGAGTTTCACGTCCCTGCACGCTGCGCTGGTTCATTACGCGACACCCCATTGCTTAGAGTCGTGGCAGAGGCTGGCGGTCACGCCGCAGTTCAGCGCTGGACTAGGCTCGCGGGGTGCGAGCGCAAGACACGAGATGACACGAGGGTGTTTTGGCAGTCCGGTGTGCATGCAGTCGCACGGCAAGCAGGAGACTTCAATGAAGTTAGTTATTGTTGTTGATGGGCTCGAGCCATGCTGCGAAATTGGTAAGCGATGTGGCAATCCATGCTGATTCTGCAGCTGCTGTTGCTGCGTGCGGCTGAAGCCGATTAGCCCAAGCCGATGAAGGCTGGATAGGTTTGTGATCAGTTGCAGGCCAAACTTTCTGCAACAGACAGTTGGGTCGGCTTTCATGCAAAAGTGAACCAAAACGGCTTCGAAGAGCAAATCCAATTCGGGCATGCAGAAGGTTTCAGAGTATGGGCAATGCATGTTCACCGAACTGGCGTTAGTTCCACTTCCCAAGCCGAGCTACATGCGGCTTACGAGGACATGCTCTTGCTTATCGACTCAGGCTTCTAGATTCGACTTTGAACCATATGTGCGATTATGTGCGGACTGATCAGCCAAGCCAGAACTGCTCTCTCTACTTCTATCGTGCCGTGTAACCGTGTAACCCTTAAGCTTCAGGCCCAGAGTGTTCCTTCCTCAAATGAATATGCTGTGGGCACGAATCCGTGCGTTTCTGAATCCATGGATCTGGCCTTCCATGTCGTCATATCGGGTTGACCAACACACAGTGCCGAATCGGCACTGCAAGCGATGACCACTCATATTGCGTGGACTTGGCATCTCGTTGTCATCGTCTTGGTCAGTATTACTCAGTCTTGGTTGTCTTTGTGACTCTCAATATTCCTGCTTTTCCTCGTCTCAATGCTGTCATCATCACTCTCCCGTTCATGCCAGTAAGCCAGTGCTGAATCTGTAGACACTGGCGTTGAAGAGACTAACTGAGCCGAGGCTAACACCAAGTTGCATCCGGTCACATCTTGGCGAGAGGCGGAGACTTCTGTCATGTGCTTGCAGTCTGGTGGCCTGCGAGAGCGCGACCTCACACAGATGTCTCAAGCTGCTTAGCCTCTGTTTGGGCCCCGAAAGGCCCAGTATCGCAACCTCTGCCGGTGCAGCAGATCCCTTTGCATCCAGACCTCCTACTTGTAGCTTGCAGAGCAGTTGTTCGGCGGTCCCGGGCGAATCATCTTGAACAGATTGCCACAATTCGCAATGGTCAACTTCGGTGATTTTGTACCGAGTCTGACCGGATACTCTATGTACACAGCCAAAGGTCAAACCGCCACAGGCAGGGAACTGCCCAGCCGTGTATATCGTATGGGTAGATCGCGATTTGTTACACGGAAGCAGCAAGACCCTCCAGGGGATAGGCAAAGCAGTACGTATGACTGCGGCCGCCGCTCTTCGCCATGTGGCTCCGGCGACATCGTTGTTCGGACCCAACTTCGACCGCTTAGCAGAGGACTTCTGTCAAGCCGGGTATCAGAAGCTGATGATCATCACGGATTTCGATCAGACACTGACGCGCCATGTTGGCTGCGACGGTCTGCCAGGCAGCTTGTCCCCAGTGTCATTCTGCTGGTCGGGTTGTGTGAGGTTTATCCATTGCCACATGAAAGCTTAAGGTGATCAATGCCATCAGATCGTGATGAAGCATCTCGACACGACGCTCCTGCCAGAGGTGGCGGCAAGCTTTCGAGATCTTAATGCTTGGGACAGGCTGACCGAAGCCCAGCGCATGGAAAAGTGCAACCAAGATCCAGAGCAAAGGGTAGCCGCGACGAGGAGTTGGTTCAAGTCCTTCCACGAGGTATCTTCACAACACCAGCTGTCGCAGTTTGCATCGCAGTGCTTGTTGAAGAGCAACGTGTGCACCCGGCTGAATCTCAGTGCAACGTTTGACTGGATCAAGAAGTGGAATGTACCACTGTTTTTGATTTCGGCTGGAATTCGCGAATTGCTGGTACCGATCCTTCGAGCCTCTACAGCTGAGCTGCCTTCTACGGCACGCCTGGTGGCCAACAGCCTCGATGAGCCAGACGTGAGCATCACATCACGCGATAAAGCTGACGGACTGACAAAGATTCCGGATTTTTCAGGCCTGGCGGCGGGGAAAACCCATGCTCTTTTGCTTGGCGACAAGCCTTCGGATTGTGCACCGCTGCGTAGCTTGCCACCCGAGGTTGTAGCTCTTAAAGTGGCATTCCTCCACGAACCGTCCAAGGCAGTGCTAGCAGAATATTCGGAACATTTTGATGTGCTGCTGACCGGTGATCCATCTATGGACTTCGTGAACGCGCTTCTCGATTTGGTGAGCGGGCAGGGTGTGTCCCCTCGGCTTTGACATTTTGGTGCTTGCACTAGAAAGCAGTGAGCCCACGTGCGTTTGCGGTGGGGTGCTGCAGGAAGCAACCCCGTTAGCAAAGCTTCCAGAATTTCAAGGGCCAAGCGTGGCTCAGCACCGTGAAGTCGTCGGTGTAGATCGTAGAACACTAGACTGGACGAAGCTCGAAGATCCATGCGCCTCGAAGCAGCTCAGAGCAGAATTTCGTTGTGTGGAGACTTCCACAGGCACGGGGGCGTTGCCGTCGCTGAGCCTCAAGTGAGCCGCTCGCTTGCACCTCGCATGCCTTGCAGCTTGTGCCGGCTCGATGCTCCTCACTATCATGTCTGAAGACCTTGTGCTAACAGACTTTGTTGCTCTGCACCGGGAGGCAACAAGTTCGGAAAACCGCTGCGCAAAGGGAGGGTTTGTACAAACAGATGCAGTCTCCTACACCTAAACCTTGATGTAGTGCAACCGACCTCTTGCATTGCGAGCCTGAGGTTACCATGGACGGGGAGACAGTTGGTAACTGGATCCCTTGAGGTCGGGAACCGCGTGTTCGAAGAGGCGAGGCATGCTCCGCTGATTTCTGCTTGCTTCGCAGGGGGAAGGGCCGGCCCAGGGCTCTCTTCCGGGCCTACCATCTTGAGAACAAGAGGCGCAGATGACAAGTGTGCTCTCACTCAGGCCAGTTCTCCCCCTGCGTTCACTTGCGCGAGGAATTTTCTGAGTGGTGTGTTTCGCTGAAAGCATGGTCCGTTGCCCAGAACCAGGTGTCCTAGGAGTCTATGCCTGTCCATAGGTGCGTCACATACCTGTTGTGGCAGCTCCTGCTGGCTGCTTGGCCTTGTGCCAAGGAAGATGCCCTGGATGTGACCATGGGCCTACGCTTTGCTGAGTTGGTGGAAAGGTTTTCAAGCGGGACGCTTAGAAAGCACTGCAGCACAGAGAGGGCCATGGTCCGTTCACTGGCCGCTAGCCGCTTTTCCTTTGTTTATCGGCTTCAGCTCGCCGCCTTGCCCTCCAAGCTCCAAGGCAGGCAGAGGCTGGCTTCTACCAGCTGGGCAGGCTTCCGATATTCTGCCGATTGTCTTGCGACGGGAAGAGCTTCGGGTTCTTTTTGCTAGAGCCTTTTTGGCCCTCAAGCCGAGACCCTTGGAGAAAAACAGGAAATTGCAAAGAACAGCTCCAAAGCCCTTCCAGAGCCTTCCGGTGGCATGTGGCAGGAGGCAGCAGCCGCAATGCAACTGGGGATCCAACGAGATATTGCCAGCGGGGAGCCAGAGTCGCTCATGAGCATCCCCAAACCTCTGCGAGTTCCGAAATCCCAATGTCCCACTGTTGCTTCGCAAGGACGAGACCACTTGACCTGGTCCGAGATCGTTTAGGGCAGTCTATAGGTGCTCTGCTTCGAAATTGAGTTCTGGAAGGAATTTTCAGCACGACTGAATACCACTAATGCGTCGTCCGAAGCTCTTACGAACCCATCGAACAGCTGGAGGCAGAGTCGCTTCTGCATGAGCGTGGCCTCATCCAACTGCGACAGGACTCGCGGGTTCAGATTTATTACAGTCTGTTGACCCCTGGTGGGCAGGGCCTGCCGCCCAAGTCTAAATCTTATTAAATCTCGGTCATCTGTGAATGAATGCCGTTTCGGTTCAGGACGAAACTGGCTCAGGTACAGGAAAATCGCAAGGTTTCAAGGAATAGCGGCCTCAGCCGTGATCTTTGGAAGATCATGCGCAGTGCGAAGGTATCCTGCTTTGCTCAAGGTCCTCGGTCATGTGCGGCTCTTCCGGCAAGGCCGCCAAGCTGAGCACGCAGAGTTTTGGCACAACTGCCCATGCATGCAGAGGCTGGCACAGCACGTCCAAAACCGAAGGGTGTTCTTGCCAGCGGACTGGCTATGCAAGCAATGTATGAGCTGCAACGGTTTCAGCACCTTGTGGGGATGGCTTAAATGCCGGTGTATGGCGGGGTGCACCTTGCAGAGCTGGCCGAGTTAGGTTAAGATTGTGTTCTTCCACAACAGGAATTACCCTTAACAGTGGAGCAGGTTATAGGATACCCCGAATAGGACAGATGACACAGGCATAAGCGGCATAAGCATGTTTCAGCTGTAAATGGGATATCCCAATCTTGATCGGCATTGCATCCTTTTGATTGCCTTCTTTGGGCCTTGTCGTGCCAGGGTTTGTCGCAAAAACCAAATCTTGCGACACACTTTGTCGCGCACGGCTCCGCCTGAATACCGGCAAACACTCGTCACAAAGAGCAGCGAAGTCCGCATGTCCCTTGCGCAAGAACCCTCTGAAGCTCTGGAATGGGTGCGGATTGCCTTTGTAAAGCTGACCTTGCTGTGGCTTCACTCACTGTCCGCTTGCAATAACTGCGTTTCATGCACCATTCGCATGTGCATTCGCCGCGCGAGAGTCCACTGCGCAGTTTTGCCGGGCGGACTCGTCGTGAAAGCAATGCAATCATCGGGTAAAACGATGGTACAACGGCTTCAGCCAATCGGAAAGACATTCCACGAAATAGCAATGCATTAACAGATCAGACCAGTGAGCACGCCTGGTGTGAAACTGATGCAAGCGGGGACAACCATTTCAATAATCTGGGCAGCCAGCCCACGTGGCGACTCGGAAAACCTCGTGAACCGGCTAGTAAGTTTGCAGGCCTATCGCGTGGAAATGCTTTGTTGAATTGCAGGACATTTGGTGAGGACATGAAGGGGAGACTCTATCTGCATCCAATTCACCGCTGCCGCGTTGTTACATGATTCTGGAATCAAGGCAGGCTCAGGCACCATGGTCAGCCATGGTCCGAAGAGCTTGCCATGTTGCTTCATCAAGCAGTAGGGTCACAGAAGCAAGGCTGTCCTGCACGACGGAAGGTTCGACTCTCTGCATGAGCCCAACTGCCCTCAACACGCAGGCAAAAGACATGTCAACATGATACCTTGGCCCCTGTCTTACCACACACAGGCGGCTAAACGCGCTTCTCCGACACGTGCTTGGATATATCCCGTCTCATGCTATAAAAAAGTGCCCTCTGAGCCCTGGCATCAAATTTTCTTGCTCCTGCACACACAAGCCCAAAGCTGCCGGCCGCGAGTAGCAACATCCTGGAATCTGCACGGGGGCGGTGGCTGCTTGGAATTTTTTAGATTGTAGATGCTCTTGATGTTTCGAGCCCTTCGATTTTCTTCCCTCCACTCCTTCTCAAAGAGATTCCGAGAATCTTCGGCAATGTGCATGACAGGCTTTTTGAATAGCGCCGCATCCTTGGGAACTTGGGACCATGTCCTGTAGGGCTGACGTTCCATACGTTCCGACATGAAGCCGAGACTACCGCACGCTTTCCGGTATTCTGCCACTGTCCATCGAAAGAAGGCGGCAGATTGTGCTGCAGGTGTTGTCGCTCGTTGGCTCTTGGCGAATATCCCTTTTGTGACACTTCATTGCCCTCCAATCAGGATGCTCAGAGGGACGTTTGGGTCCCAGCCACGTGCAGTTGTAAAGCTGTTGCTGCAGCTTGCTCAGAGCTCTGCTCGACTTGCTTACAGCAGGGTTGGTGTGAGGGTTGGGTCTTCGGGTCCGAGGATTTGGAGACCAAAAACACAAGACAAACAATGCTTGTCCATGTCATGGAGAAGACATAAGCAAAACAGGCATCTGTTTGAATAAATTGAACCGGCGTTTCAGCCCACGAATCCCATGAAGCAAGAACAACAGTTGACACGACAAGACAACACGGTTGTCACGCTTCCATCTTTGTTCTGTCTTGGCAAGGATTCCAGGTCTTGATACAATGCCCACATCTACGACTGGCTGCGACCGTGCTGCGCACATGCTGCCGGAAAGGAACAACCCGAACCCCCCTCCATCCTACATGGGCCAGTCTCAGATGCAGGATGGTAGGGCCGCCCAAGAATTTGGGCAGGGCTGGTGTCAGTGAAGCGATGGCTCGCTATCGGTCCCGCGGCCGGGATCGTGTTACCCGCACCATCCCGCACCGCTCACAGAGGCCATCGGTTCTTGGCTGCCCACATCAATTCATTAAAATGTCCTCCTGTGCAGGGCAGCAAGATTTGGGGAAAGGTGGATTGGGTGGCGCTGGAGGGGGAAAGGTGTGAGACTGGGATTGGGGACAGGTTGCTGAGTTTACAGATGACAATCGGAGGCGGATTGCAAAAGCGCCAGCGACGGCACAGCAGCCTGGCTCTGAGGAAGACACGTGTCACGTCGTGCCGATTCAACGATGCACGCATCAGACGAAGCATCACGGCATGGTAGTGGACTTGACAAGAAACTGTGGGGCCACACTCCAGAGCTCGCCAGGACTGAGAACTACGCATGAGGTGAGCGGCTGCACCGTTAGCGAGGATAGGAGTGCTGCCTCAGAGGGCTCGAGCTGCAGCATGTCATGTAGCAAGAATCACATTTAGGTCTTGAATTTCTCGAAGGACCGGGGCACGGCTTGCATGTCCCCAAAGGGGACATCCCGAGCTTACTTCTTGTAGCCCTGGCTTACGAAGTCTAGCAAGGGAGGCATGAGCGAATGCTGCAGCCGAAGGCTGGACCTTGTGGCGGAGGATCTGGACGATAGATGGAGAAATAGCGATGATAACCAGCAACAATACAACAGACAACGTGATCCGGACAGTCAGGCATAGCAGTAATTTGGCGATGAAGATGGTGAGGAGATAGAACAAAAGTAGGATTGAAGCGGCATTGGATCGTCCGAGTTGCCACTGTACGACACCGTGGCTGTTCAACTTCCCGATGTTTCATTGCCGGAATTGCCGGTGGACACCCATAAATTGGCTCCGGATCGCGAGCATGTGCCAGTGCCTGGTGACAACGAAGACCATATGGACATTATGGACTGGGCAAAGATGCGAAAATGTTCCGAGCCGAGACACGACAAACTTTGCCTGCGTGGACCATTTGTCGCCAGGCGTGCTGCAGTCAATGTCGCGGAGTTGCGTGCCATCCTTGTGCCGTTGCACTTGGAAGGCTGCCACTGGTCGCACAGAACTCAGAGCCAAAGTGCCACCGAATTGCAATGAAATCGCGCCGCGCGTGCGAGGCTCGCCATGGTTCACATCCCCAGGCTGTGTGTTGCTGTGAGACATCTTTGATTGGGCTCCGTCAATTGGACAAAAGGTGTCTCTGTTTGCCTTCAAGAATGATTAACATGTTTGGTTTCGGATAAAGGCTGTTTGGCCACCACCCGTAAATTCGTGAAGTCCGAGTTTTGCGAGGCGTACCATTTCTTACTTTGATTCGCTGAGCCTGCCGGTCCCAAAGCTCTTGGGGCGGAGGCTAGCGCATGCATGTACATTGCCTGTGTCTACTCAGTCTACTCCGTTTCTATTTGCTGCAGAGGTCGTCCGCTCCGACAGAAGTTGCGCAGTGCTCGCAGGCTCACCGAATTCATGGCGGCAGAGGTCGCGTCTTTTCCTGGACATCCGGGCCTGTTTGACTCGGTAACATGTAGGCCGCCAGGAGCGGCTTTCGACATAAAGGGCCACATGACATGGTGCACCTGCGAACACTGAAGCTTCATGAGCTCGTTCGTGCATCCACATGAATACTGTCCTGACACTTTAAAAAAGACAGAAGGGCCAACACTCAGTGCATGGATCAGTTCAGCCACCAAGAATAACCTACGAAAGCTGCAGGTCGCCTAGATCTGCAAGTGGACCAAAGTCTGCCGCAGTGAGCTTAGAATCAACCTCTCTGGGGCTGCATTCGTCGCGAAGTCTAAGCTTAACAACAAGTGCTGTCGACTGCCAAGGCAACAGGAAAATTCGTCGGACTGCGGCATTTTCATGCTTGTCTATGCTGAGCGTCTCGTCATGGACCTGCCAATTGGCACCGTCCTTAGCCTCAGCTATCAGATGCCACCAGCTGATCGGCATTGTTTGAGCCATGTCCATCTCAGGCATTGACGCGTTCCTGTCGGGGATCGAGGAAAAGGCCAGCGACGACATCGAAACATTGAAGAAGTCCTACCTTAGTAGCTCCGAAATGCTCCGACACTGCTTCGTGGAAGACTTCTTGTGTGATCCCTTCAGCGCCTCGCCATCGCGCTGGCCATCCTTGAGGGCAAGCTGAGTCTCACAAGCAGGGAGCGACGGCACGAAAACACGAGCTGCCCAGCTTCAACGCGAATTATTTGGAGAATGGTAACTTCCGCATATTACCACCATGTGCACAGCCTCCTGTGAGTCTAGGCCTAGACATGGTGGAGTCTGGAATGTTTGGATGACTGTGAGTCTGCCGCTGGTAGAGTTAATTCGAGATCCCATGTCTAGCATACCAGATCCCTGGCATGTCATGTGTATTCGTACCGATCCGCTTGCAAGCTACTTCCAACAGCACCCTCAGGCCGCAGAAACACCTCATGCCTGCCTCAGTCCTCTGTCATTACATGTCGACTGAATTATAGCTGTGCCGCTGCATCCGCTAGTAAGACGCCCCGCTGAAATGCCACACATGGCCACCCCCGCGTTGTCCACAGTTGTGCTCGCCTTGGCATCATGGTCAGACCGTCAATTTGTCCCATTGATCTGTTCTCCTTGATTGCCAAATCTCGCCGAAACTATCCTCAGGTGTTTTGCGCGTGTTTGCTGACCATAGTTGCTGGCATGGAAATGGATTGGTGGGCATCTCAGGAGTCTCAGGTACTCCGAGCATCCTAGCAGGTCCTAGCAGCAGGCAAATGTCGAGAGTAAGTTGCGAAGCATAGGACAAGCTACTCGGATCGTGCCGATCTTCCAATGTCCCAGAAGTGGCGAGAGGACATGAAGGCCAGGCTGACGCTTTTCACAGCATCGAGCCACGACAACATCTTGCCCAGCACAGGACAAGCTTTCCAGCGTGGACACTGCGAAGCTTACACCGGAGCAGAAGCGCAAATTCAAAGCCCGGTCGAGAGAGGGCCCTGTAAGTTCCTTGCATATGCGGTCTTTGTCGGTCCGGTGAGGAACTCTGGCGGCGAGTGAATGGAGATCCGCAACCAGCAGGAGCTGTCGGGAAGGGACAGCTCTGTTGCTTTCTTCTCCTGCCATCAAGACTCGGCAGGCGAATCTGTGCCCTTGGCGGGGGTTGCTGCCGAAGCAGTCTTAGCACAAAGTGCCTTAAGCACTCGCTGCCTAGCTGCTGGTGTGCTACTCCTTCCATACACCCAGATTTCAGTGTCGAGTTGCTGTGAGAGCAGAGATCACAGTCAACCATGCTAGTGCCCTGGGAGCTTCGTGCGACACTCCGTTGGCTCAGGTTGCGTTGCTTCTGGGAGCTGGTGCCTACATGTGGCTTACCAAGCCCCAGCCTGACATCCAAGCCAAGTAGCCGGAGAGTGCGTGGACCTTCGTTGAAGAACTTTCAGTCTGCACCCTTGTAGCGCTTGTTTTTGTGCTATGCTCCGTGTCAGTCTGTTTTCATTCTTCACAACAGCAACGTTTTGTACATCGGCTCGATGCAACACGCGACCACTGCCGCGACGAGCCGGTTTGTGGGTCACCTTGTCTTACGGTTTTAACCGTTTAACCCTCTGTACCGGGCTGAAGCCGCCATATCCCAACTTGCCGCGGACCCCAAAATGGCAGGACGTTGAAATGCCAAGGCAGTGCTGGACGTGAGGCACAGCATCTGCAAACCTGGTCCGCTATGTCGAGTCTTCGCCGAAGGCAACCACGCAAACTTTGTTCATTGTCCACTCAAGTCCCGGCGCTTCAAGTTCCATGGTCAGCGCAAGGAAGAAGGCACGGCAGCAGCAGTGGCTCTGGCAGCGGTCGTGTCTATAAGACCCGGGGGAACAAACAAACTTAAAGCACCTCAATCGCTGACTGGTTTGCGGGTATGACCGTCATGGTTGTTCGTGGTCTGCCGATCGGGGTTCCCGCGTTTACAGTTGGCATGCCTAGGGATGGTGCATTTTGCACAGATCAGTCCTCAAACCAATATCGGTCGACTGGCACAGCACGCGCAGCCTTCGGGTTTCGGCGTGGCTTTGCTCTGGATCGGCTAATGCTGGTTATTTGTTTGTCTTTGTTCCTTGCCGCCTTCCCTCCTTCGCCTCATGGTGCCTACTGTTTACTCGGACACATCGTCCCGTCCTTCTCCCAACCATTCTGTTGAAGCCAGCCTCCCTCGAATGCGAGGTCTCACATCAAGGAGCACAGCGTCTCTGCTGGGAGCCTTGCAAGCAGCCGAGCAAAGCTTATGAGACCCAAGGCCTGTGTGGTGCCATTGAAATTGCTCAGCTATGACTATATTCCTCCCTTCCAGACTCCGACACCGCCTGCTACATCTGAAGCTGAGGACTGCGCGCCCACCTGGCCGATCCGGCATGTGATGCTTCCTTCAGTCACCCCTTTCATGCCCGATCCACCAGCACAGCTCCCAAGTTATGGCGCCCTACCCACACCGCATGTCTGCCCCGATTCACATTGACACGGCAGCCGACCCAGCTCGCAGCGCTGAGCTGCGAGAACTTCGGATGCGCTGGGCTCCGAGCATCCGAGGTGTGCTAAGTCGAGCAGGTAGCGGCATAGGGAACAGGTTGATCCCATGAAGGATTTGCGGGTGCTTGCCATGGTGATAGGAGGCAATTACGGGGCTTGCTTGGTGATACCAAAGTATACCCTCACCAACAAACATGGATGGGCCTTTTTCAGCTTTGACAGTGCTGCGATTGTCAGCGAAGCTGAGGTCGGTTTGCAGAGCAACCAGTGAGCACAGGACAATGACCAGGCCCGAAAAAGACTCCTGTTCCTTGTTGTCGACTGTATGGCTCTCGCTCTCTCTCTCTCTCTCTCTGTCTCTGCCTCGCTCTCTCCACCACTACGCAAGTCCGCGGCCATGGGCCAATTCGAGAAAGGGCCCAGACCCTTTATTCAACCCGGACTACGTCAAAGAGGAAGCTACCAGCCTGGCCGAGCTCAGTGCGGTCCGGAACCCTGGACCTCCTATGACCCCCGAAGTAGGTTACTTTGCCTGTTCTCCTGCTCTGGCTTTGGTGTTTGGGCCTGCCAAAGAGAGCTGAAAGCAGGCCAACGGCACAAGGTCTGTTGCACTGTTGGTTGAGGTCGCGGGAAGAGATCTACTTATATAGATACATATATATATATATATAGATATGTATATATAAAGGACTTGCCGCGATTGCGGCGAGGGTCTTCTTCGAGAACTCCCAGGAAAGGCTCCCGAGCTCCTTCTCGGGCTCGGGGCTGGGCTCGCTAGGCCACTCGTTCGGCGCACCATTCGTCCCATTCCTTGACGGTGAACTTCTCGTCTGTGGCGGTCTCCTCCTCTACGGCGTGCAGGCCTTTCTGGTCTTTTCCTTTTCTTCCTTTCTTGCCTTTGCCCTTTCCTTTGTCCTTTCCGCCTTTCTTTCCTTTGCCGCCCTTGCCTTTGTCTCCTTTCGGGCCCTTCTCGGGCCTCTTTTCCCAGTTGTTCCTCCTTTGGTCTTTGCCTTTGCCTCCTTTGCCCTTGCCTTTGTCTAGGGCATCGAGCTCCATGGACGAAGCGCCCTGGCCGCTCTTGGCCTCTTTGCGGCTCTTTCCTGGTTGGTCACGAGGCAAGCTCCAATAGCTTGCGGGTCCAGATCCTTCAGGTGGCCCAGGCGGTGCAAGAAGCCGCGAACAACAAGGCGAGAGACTCGTCAAAGACGGCAACGAAGCCGCCCAGCTTGACTGGGCATAGCAAAGATGCCGCCTCTAGCTTCGAGAGCTGGCTATTCAAGTTCCGGATATGGCTGGAAGCTAGTCACAAGAACGGGCCGGATATCGTGGAACACCTTATGAAGAAGATATATGACGAAGACGAGCTGAAGCTCGCCGATATGCCCGATGGTGCTGAGTACGTTTCGACTCAGGCACGCTTAGGGCTGGTCTCCATCGGTCCTGGAACTAGTGAATGCGCAGCCTGGAAAAGGCCAAGGGCTAGAGGCGCTCCGGAAGCTGATCCCGAGGACCCAAACAATCCGCAAGCGAACTCGGCTTTGCTGCGGAAGGTGCTGCACCCCCAGACGGGCGGTGCGGACACGGTCGTAGAAAGGATTGGGAGATTGCCCATGATAGGCTTAATGCCCGAAGGCCCGCGGCGCTGGAGGATGACATGCCGATCATGCCTCATCCAGCTGTGCCCGGCCAAGCTCGCCGAGCACCTGGACTTGCAGAGCTCCCGGCTGGACACGTATCAAAAGATGAGGACCGAGATCATATCGTACCTATCGCTACATAAACAGCATCGACTCATTGGCCCGTCTCTCCAGGGCTGGACCAGTCCCTGCTCAATCGGCTGGGCCATCTTATGCTGCTTCTGCTTCGAAAGACGATTCAGAAGCGACCTCGGGAAACTCTGCAAATAGATCCCGGGATTGTGGAAGAGTCTCTGCAGCTTCCGCGACGCACGGTGCTTCAGCACCAACCTCGCCCAGTTTCTCTGGGCCCTCGTAGTCCGCTGCCTTCGTCTGCAGCAGACTTAGCTCCCGCACATCCACGGGATGGCCTTGACCCTTTCTTGACCAAGGTCGAGACGACCTGGCGGGTCGCCTAAAAGGTTCCTTGGCAGGGAGCAGCGCCCCGCTACCATGCAAAGCGACTTTAGCACGTCTGGGCTATCGCTTTAAGGTCTTAAACGACTGCGGTATATACACAACATACAGCAGGACTGTATACAAAAGATCCTACTTCAATGCACCAAACCCTAAACCCTAGAGCTTCATTGATCGAGAGTCGCCACTGATTTGACCAGCTCGCAACCGCGCGTTAGCCCAATATCGGAAGGGCAAGCTTTGAGTCCACAAAACCATGATATAGATATCATTAAGAGCCTGGAATTAGGGTCTACATATGATCGTAGTTTGCTATTGCATGCATTGCACCAGATGTTTAGTTTAATAGTAGATGATCTTGCAAGCAGCTTTGATTGAAATATTTTTCAAAGGATACTATTATGAATAAGGAATCTGCAATATCTGTGGCTTCTGATTTATCTTCGCAAATTCATTTTGAGACGAGTAGATATTCGTCTGCTTCTGATTTATCTCGAGGAAATTGAATTCCGACGACTCTGTATCTAGATATTTTTGATAATTTTTCACATCTCGATCTCTTATCTTCTACTCTATAAAACGCTAGCCCTATGCGGTGCATCGTGCCTTATCTGTTCATGGGGGTATATGGAGGTTATTGATTATAGGGATTTTATATGTAGTGCTGGATGAGCGCGAAAGCTTATTTTCTATCTGTCGGTCTGTCCGTCCGTCTATTCTTTCTCGCTCCGTCTTTCTCTCTTCATCTTTATCTCTCTATTGTTCGGTTTCTGGATCTCTTTTTAAGGCTCTCTGGGTCTCTATATATTTCTCTCTCTTTTTCTTTCTCTCTATTTATCTTTATTTGTTGATATTACTTGACTCTTTGATATAATTCATAAAAAATTGCGGCGGCTATACGTATTCTATGATGTATAGATTTCAGTGTTTGAGAGAAATATATAAATTTCTGTGCGTGTATTGATTCGATTGATTTAGGACGTAAAATTCTGGGAAATTTGAAAACTCGGGCTGCAGCTTTAGGTAGGTGGGGCCGTCGTCGGCGGTCTCGGTCTCGGCTTACACTTCTAAATGTTTCGAAAATTTGGGAATCTGATAAATTGATACCTCGGTCTTGAAATTTACGGAAAAATTTCAATTATTATTTTTCTTATTTTTTTAAAAAAAAAATTTAGTAGCAATTATTGTCGAAAATTTTAGAGAATGAATATAGCTTTCTGATATTTTATTATCTGAATATAGAATATGCGTTATAGTTATTTTATAGTCTTTTATTGGAAATTTATATCTCATTTATTTATGCGGGTTATTAATTATAGAAATTTTTTTATGAAGTGATATGGAGCAACGCTTGTTTCACGAAAATTCAGTATTTATTTATTTGTCCATCGACCCGTCGGTCCTTTCGTCTGTCTCCTCTCTATCTATCTATCTCTCTATTTGTCTCTGTCTCTATCTATCTATTTTTTTGATATAATTTATCGCCCTATATTCGGGCCTTGGTTGATAACTGCTTCGGCCAAGGGCTCCATGAAGGGTAGTTCTTCACGCATAATGTAGTTTATGGTGAGATATTCTCAATTTGATAATTGTTATTGGCTCTTATATAGCTAGGTTGCAGCCGGCGACAAATTGCGTATATGGTCATTGCATTTCTATATTATTGCTGCCTGTCCTAGGCTACACAAAAAACCTCGTGTCCTGCTAAATAATTCTGCCCTCGGCCTTCGGTATGGCACTCTGGATGAAATTTGACAAAATGTACTGTTACTTGAAGCTTGGCTTCACCTTTGGGATGGCTACCATAAAAATAAATAATCGTAGATTACCTCTGGCGCCATGAATCGATATCAATATGAATAATAAGATATCCAAGTGTCTATAATTGACTTTGGCGCCGGAAAATTATGGGCAAGAATTCGATGTCAACTTGTCCGTAGCTGCCGCAATACACGAGATTTGGGCCTTCGCGCTGAGAGCTGGCGCTGTAAATTTTCTACAATTTTTCAGACTTGGGCGGTCGTTGCCAGAATACTGCCAAGCTGCATATTCCACTTGAATACCGCTGCTGGAAGCAGCGGGTCAACTCTAGGTAATATAATCTAATTATGCATGCCTCGAGGCATATAAGAATGAATAATATAGATCTCGTACTAATGGAAAAGTATCGGGATAAGCGCGGGATAATGCTAAGTTTTGGCGGGATATCGGCGAGATAATGATAGGGTATGGGCGGGACAGTGGCGGGATAAATATGAGATAAGAATAGATATAGACGAGATATCAAAGAAGGACCGGGGAATTTCGATAAGATATAGAGGGATGAGAAAGGCACGCCGGTGGGACCTCGGCAAGATATAAAAAATGGCATGATAGGGAGTTTAAAGGGATATTGGAGGGATATGGATAGATATGGAGAATTATATAGGAGAGAGAAATTCCTACAAAATAAAAAAAATGATATAAAATTTAATAGGAAAAATCTATAAATAAATCAAAATAAATATATGAATTTCTCTAATAACTGTCTAATATGATAAAATATATATTTCTTAGTCAGACCCTGATGGCATATTCGGATTTCTTCTTTTTCGTATAATTGCTCCAAAGGTGAAAATCTGGATAAATGTCTTGCCTGACGGCTTCACTACTGAACGCTGCGGGACTGGAATTATGCTAGAAATTTTTTAATATAATTGATAGAAGGAAATTCTTCAGGTTAGCGTAGCAGCATTAAGTCTTTTAATCCCTTCTATGCCCGCTCTTCCCCGGAGCCTCCCTCAATATCTTCGCCGACGGTTGAGGATATCCTACGATGCTTCGAGAAATTTCTCGAAAAGTTCCCTTCCACGACTTTTGGGATATTGGGCACCATTTTAGGGCCACCAGAGGCATAAAAAAGTCAAAGCTACGCCGGGCACCGCGCTGCTCCACCGCCGTCTTGCTACTATTCCGCGTCCTTCACTATTCTTCCACCTAAAACGACTTCTCTATTAATAAACTTATACTGCCCGCTCAAGAACATGCCCCGTAATTGATAGGTTGGGAATGAATTTTAATATAATCTCGATCCCCTCAAAAGGCGGGATCCAATATCCCCCACCCCAACCGCCGTCTACAAATCAGATTTTTTTCTTTGGGCGAAAAATAAATTATGAGGCTTCGATAGAAAAATAGGCTTTATTTATAAAG